GGCAGTTTGTTTGCAGCCTGCTTGCACTTTCCGCTTGCGTAGTCCCAGCACACCCCTTGCCTCCCTCTCGGGGAGCAGGACATACAAGTTGCGATGACTTCTTCGTCCTGAGCCTTCCTAGTCCTCGCCTTTCCGCCCTGCAGGAAGTCATTTTACCGGTCTCGCGGCCGCCCTCTATTTGGAGGTCTCGCGGCCGCCCTCTATTTGGAAGGTCGTTCCCCTTGCCTTTGCCAGGCTGCCCTGTTGCCCCCGCCGGACATTTCCATTCTGGCTCGCAGGCATCGCTGGATACCCAGCTTGTGCGATGGTGTCCGCGGACTTGTTCTGCGCTTGCATCCGATTCTGCCTCAGTCTCCACTGCTTTATAACCGTCTCTGTTTTCTCAAGTATATCGCCTATAAGCCTGTCGCGTTCCGGCTTCATCTTAAACACATGGCAACCTCGACCTTCATGGCCTCAACTTCCGCGATCTTTTGGAAGAATATGGTGGCCAATTCAGGGTCCGACGCGATTATATTTCCGCCTCCTACCTGCAGAAGCGTCACTATCCTGTCCCACTTGGTCAGGAACTGCTCCAAATTCCCTTCCTCGTGCTTTCCTATAGAGTTGACTACCTCAAGCATCATCAGTGCCTGCATACTGTTCATGCTCTCTTCACCCTTTGCAACCTCATATATAATGATCGGTTATGATCCTGAATATATGCTTCGAGGGAGTGGTCCCGGTTGTATGGAAATTGTTGAACCTTCTCATCTCTATCTTGGCCTTCAGCGATTCCGATTTAATTCACCCTGTTAACGCGTTGAAAGCTTCGATTCCACTATAGGGTACTTGAGGGCAAGGAAGATCTATGACCACGTCATCTCCGTCCTCGACCGTTCTCAGTTCCTTCTCAACATATTAGCGGTCGTAGCGATATGCATGCTTTGCGGCCTCTATAGTGGTTACGGTCCATTATCGCATATCGCAGACCAGCAGCTGTTGGTTCGCGGGATATCTTTATGTCATCTAATTTATCAATACCCCTCATATTCTTACTAACTGATCCCGGTCCGATCGGCTTCCGGTGCCTATTCTCGCCGCACCTGATACACACGTCATTCTCGCCTATATGAAGCTGACACTTGAAATTGTTGCACACCACACACGGAGCTCGTCTATATCTGCTCAGGCACTCCCTGCATATATGGGTGGTTGTCGAAATTAGGGTTCCTTTTTGGGTCCTGAAATATTTTACGGCACCTGCCCAAAAAGGGACCGTAATTTTGACAACCACCCATATGGCATTGCAGGTTAGGGTCGCGCATCTCCTCTGGGCATAAACCGCTGTCGCTGGGCGGCTAACGATCCCGGTCATCTCGCGTTTGTCCCGATCCGAATCTCTCGTCGCCACCGCCTCCGAACTGACGCCCGTCTTGACCGCCCTGGGCCTGCGGGCTTGGTTGTGCCGTCTTCTCATTCCAATGCACCCCTATGTTGCTCCGATACACTCGACAAGTTGTCGTCGTACACGCTTGGTGCCGGTGTGTTGCCGGGCCGGCCAAAAGCCATGTCGGCTGGGGCAGCAAACCGAGACTCATGTGGCCCGCTAACTTGTTCCCTTGGTATACGTTGGGCCTGTGTAAGTTCAGGCATTTTCCTGCAGCACTCTCACCTCTATAACGATCGCTCGGTTGTCTTTGTAGCTGTTTAATTTCCCGCTTCAGGGCTTCTATGTCATCCTTCATCTTTATAATTGGACGAGGGACCCAGTGGAGGTCCTTCAACCTCTGAACGCTCCTGCAGCTCGGACTCTCTTTATATCCCTGTGGATTTCGCTGGCACAGTGTCGTTCCCAAACCTACTTTCCACCGGCTCGCCGACTTTCGGATTGGATCTGGCTGCAGCGTTCTGCTTCCTGACCGGCTCCTCTACATCACGCACCTTCTTTTCCACCTGATTAATACGTGCTACGCCTTACGCTGAGTGGGCAGAGCCAACTGCAGCCACAGGCCAACAAAGCAACAAGTATTGCAGCACGACGGAGGACGCTAATGCCTACAAGGGGCTAGAGGTCCCGGCCCTTTGGAGCTCCACCCGGTCACCAACTCCTCACATGTTGGACTTGGTGGCAGCTCCGCTGCCATCAAACTTCTCTTCCACAAGTGCCGAAAAGCTTCAAGCGGAGGGTTTTCCACGAGGAGCTGAGATGTCGTCTTGTAAAGATGATTGGAATAATCTCTCACTGCACTTTGCAGCGAGATTGGACCTCCTGATGGAATCTTCGTATTTTAACGTTGGAAGGTTTCCAGGTTGTAGGTTTGCTTCTTCAACTGAGACAGTCGGCTGCTGCAAAGCTTGTCTAGCTAAGTCGGACAAGGAGGTGTTGGAAGCAGGCTGGAGAAAGGGTGATCTGTCGTTGGTTTTAGGATGGCGAGGACTGTGGTTTCAACTATCCCCAACGATAAGCCTCACGAACAGAAGTGGTAATCGGAATCAAGTCCCAGATTTTTCTGACCAACATGCGCCGTGGACAGAGGGATCATCCTGGATATTTAATACAGTTCAATACTATAGTTTCTACGAACCCCAATCACCTGGCCAGTGGAGGCAGTGGAGGGAGTGTGTGGAACACGCTAGTTGTCAGGATGCTCCCTGCGCAAAGGCATGGAGGTTCGCAGAAAATAACAGCTATGGCACCAGTCTAGGGCGTGCCGGCCAGTAATCCTGCATCTCGGCCTCATCGTCACCGTTTCGGGCGGCAACGATCTTGCTTGTGAAAGTCTCTAACCTCGCAAAACGAGGCACACAGTAGTCTCATTGAGCTGGGAGAACTGCAAAAAGAACGTGGGTGACGAAAACGAGGAGATGCCACGAGCGAAGATGCTGGTCACAGGCTGAGGCCGGAGCTCGGTTCTGAAGAGCCGACCGAAAATTGCTTCGACCACATCCCATTCGCCTCAAAGCACGGGGGCCCTTCAAAAGGGAGGACTTCGGATTCTTCAATGGGGCCAGTGGCCCGGCTCCACCGACAGTGCATCGAAGACCGACTGGATCACTTCGTACTTCGGGTTGGCCTCCGATTAAAGCCAAGGGCCAAGACTTCGTGACTCAAGCTGCGCTCGCAGCTGCGCTCGCTGTGGCCGTGGCAGCTGTGAAGTCGGGGATCCGTCCATTCTGGATGAGCTGCTGGCCGAAGCACAGGATCCGAAAAGCCTCGTTAACGCCGCTCCAAAGCTCTGCAAAGCAATTGCTTTCAAGGGCTCCCGGCAAAATAACAGTTCTTCGCAGCTGAGTAGAGGTCCTCGAGAGGCACAAGGCGGTGGGAAGGTTCCTCGCTACCACGGTTCCCACACCCTTGGTCCTTTCCTTTGCCATCCATCCTCCGATGAGCCTTCAGCCAGGTGTACTCTGCATACGAGGCCACCGACTCCTCGCAGAGACTTCGAACGTAGCGGAGCTCTCGCCGGGCACGGGGCCCCGAAGGTCTCCTCGAGGACGTCCAGTGGCAGCGTCAAGTTTCGCACACGGGGATCGTCGATCTTAAGCAAGACAAAGTGCTTCGGGGTTGAGATGCAAGTCCTCGAATGAGCCACATTTGTCTGGGCAAAGACCCTGCAGAAACCAGAAAAGAGATGCCTTTGCAGCCGGCACGAAAGGAACCCTCTCGGAATCGTGGTCGCGAAAGCAGCTTTGAGCGACCAGGAGTCAGCATTGTCAGGTCCATCGCCTCCAGCCTCCTCAGCCAGAAGTCACCTCGGCTCTCGTCGCGCTGGCATACGCACGAGGCCGAGAGAACGAGCACGAGATCCTCTGGGCCGAGGAGCGTTCGTAGACCGAGACCTCGCAGCGGCCGAGGACAAACTGGGCCTCCTGACAAAGCCGCGGATTCCACACGCGGCAGGCAAGGAAAATGGTGCTTTGTGTTGCTCCTTTGACCCCGAAGCGATGACCTGTTTGGCTTCGTCCACAATTGCGAGCAAATCCTGAGCGACGACCAGGTCATCACAAGCTTCCAGGACTCCAGGGCCCCGTTGCAGCCAGGCTTCCAAGTCTTTCGGCTGCTTGTTGGAGAAAATCGTGGACCCGTGAATGTACAATCCCACCTGATTCATCAGACGTCAGATACAACACAATCTGTGGAGTTTTACCTCGGGTCCAGACGCAGCGTCCCCAATTTTTTTCGATCTCAGCAAGAACTGCACGAAGCTCTTCGTCGTGCACCGGGCAGCCCGAGCTGGCCTGTCACTGTGCTGGGAAAGATGCGCACGAGCATCAGTCGTGTCAACTGTGCCTCCGGCCGTGGCAGCAGAGCACTGGTCTGAGGGCCTTAGAAGACTTTCTGCCTCCCAGCCATGCGCTCAGCAGAGCTCCGACCAGGAACCAAGCCGAGAGCTGCCGGCAGCTTGGGCAGCTTGGGCTTGGCTGCGCGATGCGGCGATGACAGCCAGGCGACGCTCACGTGCGGCCCGTTGCATGTCTTTCAGCTCCTCGGCAAACCTCTCCATCCTTTCCATCGCTTGGGCCCCCCATCGGCAGAAGGAGTCGCCGAGCTCGAGCTTTGAAGCCAAGTTTGCGGCGGCCCAGAAAGGATTTAATGCGCGGCGGCCCGGGCTCCCGGACTCTCGGACTCCCGGACTCTCTCTCTCTCTCTCTCTCTGGCTCTGGACAACCCCCCCCCGCCCCCGCCCCGCGGCGGAGCCTGCCCGGCGGACCGATTGCCCGCCAGCCCGGGCCCGGGACCCAACGGCCCCAACGTCTTCGCCGTTTGGGCCGCCTCAAGAAACTCCCCCCCGAAGCTTCGCGCAGAGGCTTTTGCAAGCTGGGACTGAGACCGACTTGCTCTTGACAGCCTGCCAAAACACTCAGCACCTTGAGCTGAAACCGAAGAGAGAGTATATAATTCGCTGCATTTCGGCCTGCAGGCGTGCAAGAGGAACCTGCTGCTGCACCTGCGAATCCACCTGGAAGCCGCTGCAACTAAGCCAAAAAACATCAACCAAACGGGTCTTGCTGCTCCATTACAGCTTCGATGCAGCGGACGGACACATAGAACAAACTGTTTGCATTCCTCCGGACAAATGCCGCACCTGGGGCTGCGCAGCTGGGATCTGCTGCACCTACAGACAAGTCATTCAGATCTGGCATAGTCCCGGCAAAATCTTTCGGCAGAACAATGCTGGGACATCAGCCGCTTGAGTCTTGGCACCGTCCTGCGTCATCACAGTTTCGATGCATCGGATAGAGAAATGGAGTCAAGACCTGCTCGGTTCTCCAGACGGTGCCCTGCCTGGGACTGAGGAACCGGAACTTGCTGCGGCATCGTTACCTCAGGCTCCAGACTCGACCGAACCAGTGGCCAATGCATCGGCCTGCGCGACCTTGCTTGTGACAGCTTGTGCAGTCGATGACCTCGGGCAAAGGTTGACGCATTCCGCCACAGGAAGCTGCAACCGCTTCTGAGCCACCCAGGCTCCCGACTTGTGCGATTTCTGCTCCAGCTCCATCATGTAGCACTCACCTTCGCGAGGTTTGAGCTTGACCGGGTTCCGGCGGCACTGCTGCGCCAGCCAATACTCGAGTCAATACAGATGTGTGCACAACCGGGGATCCTACGAAGCGTGTCAATGGTGTCAGATGCTTTCACCGCTGCACTGAGAACACCTTGAAACCGCCTCGGTTTGACTTCTTCCACGCACAAAGACAGCCGGCTTTGTTTGCTGTTCTGGCATGCAACTCTTACATGACTGCCTCCTCCGCGGCTCATTTCTAGCAGAACTCGAAAGCCCATTGTCTTGAGTAGCGACAGATGGGTTCTCTGCGCCACTGTTAACCTGTTTCCGAAAAAACCCTTGGCAACTCAAGCGAAAGCGCAAGACCCAGGCTGGCAATAGTTGCCCACCGTGGCATCCGTCTTTGCTTGCCTGATCCCAGCAACACCACTCGATTTCAATATCACGCTGAACAAAACTCGCTTAAAGCCCCTAGGAACCTCAAGAAAAGATGCAGCTCCCCACGGGCCTTGCCTCAGCCGGTGGCTTCGCCTGATAAACCCGACATTTCACTCAGGCTGGTGCAGATCGTGGTGGCACTCTCAAAGGCCCCTACAGGCAGTGGCCAAAGGCAAGGTCAGCCACCGCATCCGAGGACAGGAAATCTTCCTTTGGATTTCAAGCCCCTGCTCAACCCACATGATTTGGAAACAGCAAAACATTGCGCGCACCATGGCCGCAGAGCAGGCGTGAGCAAAGCTCATCGTTTCGCAAAAGTTGGATCTGTTGAAATCATCCCGCATCTGTGCCTGCCCAGCGCACCATCGAGCGGATGAACCGCAAGCACCCAGCATCTACGGAAAGTCCCGCCAAAGCCAGCATCTCGCCAAGAAGGCCGCAACTCTCCTTACCTCAGTCAATGCTCATGGACTGCTTGTCCGTCAACGTCAAACGCCTGAAAGCCGAAAACAAGGCCGATACTTTGCAAATGCTTGCGGCAAACTGACACACTGGACTCTTCCGTCACGTGGCCAGAGGTGTTGGCCTGGCATTTTCACGGAGAAACCAATGCTCGCGTGATCTCGCCTGGCATGCCTTGTCCACGATCTCCGCGCATTTATTCGCAGTGAAGACTTGTACGTCCTGTCCATACGGTGGACTTGCCAAGCCATCAGTTGCCGCATCAGACAAGGCCGGCCGCGGAATTCTCGAAGATTAATGCATGGGCACCAACCAGCACCTTTTGGGAACCGACGTGTAGCTTCTGAGGTTGCTTTCCATCGAAATGATGGCAGAACTCATGTCCGTGATGGAAATAAGATTCGGGCAGCCAGGGCGGTGCACCTTCACCGACACTTGCTGCAGTGAGTCGGATCATGGAGATCTCTATCTTAGCTACGAGGCCACAAGACACTTCAGCACGTTGCAATCCCGGCCACTTCGTTGACATCACTTGGCGGCTCGCAAACCGGGCATAGCCTTGAGCCCCACTTTGTGCCGCTTCGCTTCAACAAACAAAGGAAGCATGCTGTCTGTGATCGTTTTGCTTGCGACCCAGCTCCGACGAATTGCCCGAACAAGCCTGAAACTTTTTGAAAAGCTCCCCACAACACCAAACAGTTGTGTTCGGCTGGACCGCGCTTTGCAATTCAGTGTACTTCTCCAGTTGCTCTGAGCCTTTTGACTTTTTTCAGTCGGCATGAATCCACTACCACTACTAGGACTACTACGACTAGTACAACAACTACCACGACGCCTACTACTACTACTACTACTACTACTACTACTACGACTACTACTACTACGACCACTACTACCGCGACTACTACTACTAGAAGCCCTTGAAGCCCTTGAATGAAGAATTCAACAATCGTATTCGAGCTTCTCTGGAATGCGCAATGCAAGCAACAATCAAATGCTCGGTCATGGATGAAATCAGCTTCAGAATGCAATCACTCGGTCAGCAATCTTTTCAAGGGCACTCGAGCCAATCTTGAGCCATGACAATATGCCATGTAGGTTCAGCAATGACCATGAAAGAGCAATTCACTCTAACACGGTTCCTTGGTCATGCTCTCCGAGTAATGACCACACTGCCTGGTTGGTTACAATCGTTAAACAGTGATTATTTCCCAACGAAACTTCCGTTAGCGCGCGTTTCAGGGAACCCTCAACTGCGCTGCAGAGCTAAAGGCGAGCACTCTTTTTTCTTCCTAGCGGACATGGGGGGTCAGTTCGGGCCCGGTCTTCGGGCACTGAGCGAACAGATGCCACTGGCATCTGGTGAGGTAAAATCGACCGCTGGTCGAGGGTAAGGCGAACGACTGGTCCACCCCCCCTTCCAACCTCTACCGGGGGCAACTCCGTACTACGGGAGAAGTGGTGAAACGAACTAACTTTGACCCACAGGGTCACTGCAAACTACTAGTAGCTACGCTGCTCCTCCACGGCCTACGGCCTATGTACAGGGAAAGCACGCTGTGCTGGTAGACAAAACTCTGCTATAGATCATGCAGGAGCTCTGCTCCTGGCAGCTCTGCTGCGACATGCGTGGTCCCGGACCCCGCATACTATACAGGGTGTGGCGGGTGGGAAAAAATTTTGGATCACATATCCACTCTTCAAGCCGAAAGCTGCACGGCAAAGTTTGTCTAGTGTTCACAACACACAAGTGAAAACACTGTTTTCCTTTTTCGACAAACTTTGTCTACACTTTCGGCGGGAAATAAAACCCATTCACGCACGCATGATGGGGGCTTATTTCCCAACGAAACTTCCGTTAGCGCCCGTTTCAGGGAACCCTCAACTGCGCTGCAGAGCTAAAGGCGAGCACCCTTTTTTCTTCCTAGCGGACATGGGGGGTCAGTTCGGGCCCGGTCTTCGGGCACTGAGCGAACAGATGCCACTGGCATCTGGTGAAGTAAAATCGACCGCTGGTCGAGGGTAAGGCGAACGACTGGTCCACCCCCCTTGAAGGCACTCGAAGCCTTACGCACCCCCCTTCTAGTCCGCTCCGAGTGACAGGGCCAACTGCACTGCATTGAGTGGAAGGTACTGGTGCTCTGCGCCAATCCTCTCTGTCTCTTCCCACCAGTCTCTGCTGGGCCCATCGTTTTTTTCATTCACACGCTTTAGTCGAGTCGACTATTCAGCGGGCACTACGTACCCGTATCAGCGATTGGATACAGGAACGGCCTTGTCAGGCACGCCGGACTACTACGATGCCGCTTCCCAGGGCGGCAGGCCGACTATTGCGGCCATGAAAAGAGAGCTGCAGCTAAGTACCAAGTCCTACTGATCTCGTTAAGGTCAGTAGAGTTAGCTACGACAGTCGGAGTGTCATCATTCTGTACATGGAGGGCCGGATGGGCGGCATCCTCGGCAAGGCTCCTTTGGAGCTCACTGTAGAAGGCAGCAGTCGGCTCTCCCTTTGGGGCCGAAACACCCATCGACCGATAATGGCCTGAGTCCGGAGTGCATCCGATGTGATACACTACCGAGGTGAGCACATAGGTGCAGGGCTCTGTGCGAACACCATCGGTGAATGTGGGCACCTGCAATCTTGAAGAGAGGTTAACTCTGTGTTGCAGTTTTCCTACTTCGCCTCTGAGGTCCCCACTGAATCGCATAAGCTGAATGCTAGGGATCGGTGGGGGTCTGACGAGTGCAGTGACCTCTCCCGTATCTTGCTCATAGGTCCAATCCTCAATGAGCTGCTGCAAGGTTTTGTTGGGCTTACATGGTAGTGTAATGAGTGGCACAGGGCTCATTCGTTGATGAGCATGAAGAAGGGGCCCTTCCAGATCGGGCTTCCCATGAGCCATGTATGCCTGGCATGCGTACATGGTCAGTGAGGAATGTAAGAAATTCAGCCACGTCGTGTTGCTGATGCATTCTGGGCCATGTCCTGAGTAAGTCAAGCCACGCCTTCCTCCGATAGAGCTGAACCGATCCGTTCGTGTTGAGAAGGGGTCTCAGGAGCTGATGAAGATCTCCAAAGTGAGAATTGCGATCCGAGGCCCGGGCTGTGTAGATCCACATGAGTGCCTGCACTAGTGAATTGAGGTAGCACAGGTTGTGTGGATTGGCAAGAACAAGCAATGGAGGCGGTTCCAGATCAATGTGAGCAGCAACTACCGGATTGTTTGCAGCTCTTGATGGTGCAGCTGCTGATGTCCCCGAGTTCTCAAGCCATTGCTTGAGCGTCCCCTTGTTCCCTGTGTTAGGGATATCCCCTTGCTGATGTGTCAGCCTCCCCGTTTGGGGGCCGAATTTCGGCTTCCCCGGATGGTTTCCTGCCTTCTGACCTCTTCTATCATTGCGTTGCAGGTCCTCTGGCAGTATACCTGCAGGCAGGGCTTCGAGCTGTTTCAGCTTCCCCCTGCTGAAGATGGTTTGTTTCGGGGCCGATGTTGGCTCCCCTTCCTCCCTGGTAGCTTCTGGGGCCGTCGACGGCTGTCCCTTTTTCTGAATTTTCTTCATTGATCTGTTTCTCTGGTCTCCTTGCAGTTTAAGTTATCCTCAGATATGAGAGGAATCGAAGATATATAAAAGTATATGGAAAAATTTTTCAATCTCCAATCACAGGAATAATCAGTCCAGCAATCTATATCATATTGCAAAAGAGGAAAGGCTTCACTCGGACAGGACTTCTTTTTGTTCTCCGTTGCAACGGGGGTTCTGCTACCGGGTTGATGGCGAGAGAGGGCGAGCACAACCCCTCGAAGTAAGGCAAGAGCAGCCGAACAGATAAACGGCAAATGCAGCCGAACAGAGCAACCATCTTCCCCCAGTCTCACAAAAACCGTATTGAAACTATGTCGGGCGGGTGGGTGGTCGAAAAATTTTGGCAATCTCAGCCTTGAACACACCGCCGGGTGACATGATTCAAAATCGCACAAGTATCTACCGAATCATCATGCAGGAAATCGTGATGCAAAATACAGCATCAAAAAGGCGATGCTAAAAACAGCATCAATCGCATGACAACGGAATCTGTTAAAGATCTCGAAAGTTAAAACATTGGTTTAAACAATGATGTTTGAAAACTGCAAGTGCGCTTCGCCTTTGGCTTCGCTAGACCAGGATAAACATAACTGCGCTCCGCTCCGTGGGACGTTTCTCTGGTCTCCTTGCAGTTTAAGTTATCCTCAGATATGAGAGGAATCGAAGATATATAAAAGTATATGGAAAAATTTTTCAATCTCCAATCACAGGAATAATCAGTCCAGCAATCTATATCATATTGCAAAAGAGGAAAGGCTTCACTCGGACAGGACTTCTTTTTTTGTTCTCCGTTGCAACGGGGGTTCTGCTACCGGGTTGATGGCGAGAGAGGGCGAGCACAACCCCTCGAAGTAAGGCAAGAGCAGCCGAACAGATAAACGGCAAATGCAGCCGAACAGAGCAACCATCTTCCCCCGGCCCCGCGATCGGAGGATGCATCGAAACTCACTGCATAGCTTCCGCAGCCCAATCGGCTTCCAGCCTAGCCGACGAAAGAATCGCCTGGGCTAGCTTCGGCTCGTAATTGGGAGCACGAATGAAGTCCAACATCGTGTCGGTGGCTGCCACGTCCCCCTTGTTTATGGCTTGAAACCGATCACAGGCCTGGGCAAACAGTCCCCGCGACGGAAGGTCCGCCGGGTTACTCTTTGAGGGAACCCGCTCAAACCACATAAGCGCCTCCATGGAGCTCTCCATCAAGGCCCCCAGTGAGATGAGGCGCATCAGCGAAGCCGAAGGCGAGTATCGCTTCACGAATCCATAAAGGCATGCATTGTTGTCGATCCAAGCTAGGACCGAGCGACCTTTGAGGAGGCCGCGGATCCCGAACAAGGTAATCGCCAGAGCGTAGGCTTCAACCTGGCAAATCACTTGGGCGCCAGCCTCCCTGCCCCAGTGATCCATCAGCGGTTTGCAAACTTCTCCCCCGAAAACCCATCGGGAGCTCGTGTAAGCATCAACAAGAGTCGCTCCCCAGGTGCCTCGCCCTTTCTCGAAGGCCCCATCCGTGTAGAGCACTACAGGTGGCAGAATCGTGGCCGGGCAGCGCTTCGGCCTGCACTGCGCGATGACATCCAGAGCAAGCTCACAAGCTTGCCGAAGCTCAGGCGTGTTGCCCAGGAAGGGCCCTGACAAAGCCCGTGTCAGCATCCGGGAAGTTGGCTTAAGCTCGAAGCCCATAATCAGACCCCCGGCGAAGTTAATCAAGCCATGAAGCGAAGCCACATCACTTCTCGTCACAGCTCCTCCCTGGGCTACCGCACGAAGGAGTGCGGCAATTTTCTCAAGTCGTCCAGCCTTGTTCTCAACCTTGAGAGTGCCCTGCCATATCTCGTCAAGGCCCAAAGAAACACCCAAGGAGACCACCTTGTTGTCAAAGGGAACAAATTTCCGCCCACTCTTTGCATAGGACCACCCAAGCAGGTCAAGCAGCCTCATCAGGACTTTGTCCAACAAGAAAGCAGCTGGGCGAAATTCATACACTGTGTAGTCGTCATAAAAGTCAGTCGCGATCGCAGCGAACTTGACAACCATGATATGAAGGATCGCAAGTGCTACTTTATTGAACCCATACACGCTGGCAGCAGCACCAAAAGGCAGGCTCTGGGCTATGTAAAACTCCCACTTGCCCTGTGGGTTAGGGAAGCCAAGGACAGCATGCTCCCTCGTGGAAGGGTGGATGCTCACCTGGCGGTAGGCCTTGCTCAAGTCAAGTGTCTTACCAAGCAGAGCGGGCTGGCGGAGCATCTCAGGATCCCAGTCCCCCTCAAGCAAGGTGCCATCAGACAGGGGGACCCGGACCTTGGAGCGATCTTGCAGCACGCGGGAAAGAAACCTCAGGAGGCCGACCGCGTAATCCGTATCCTGAAGCTCTAGGAAAGAAGAGGAGCCGAAAGCCTTGTTGACCGCGGACATCTTAAAATCATCGATTATCCTTATCTTGGCGTCTTCACCCTGCCTCAAAAGGAAACGGGGGGAAAGCGACCAAGCGTCGGTCTTCAAGATGTCGCTGACTTCCTGCTCCGTGTGATATGGACCCGTGAGGAAGCCCGCTGCCAGCTCCTCGGAAGTCTCAGCCTTCATCGCCTTGTAATCCTGCTCTGAAGTAAGCCCTTTCATCTTCTGCAATGCACGCCTCCGCAGAGCGGCCTGGGTTTTGAGCTGATCTGGCTCAAGGTCTTTAGGCTTCGGCCGTTTGGCAAACAAAGGGGACTCGGCTTCTTGACCGACCAGTGGCACTCCTTCGGAAAGGAGGTTCACCACCGCCAAGTCAGGAAAGCCCGTTTCCTCAAGAAGCTCGCGAAACAATGCTAGGGCCTTGCCTTTGGTGACTCGCTCCACGTCCGGATGCATCTTGGCTCGCAGCTCCTTCTCAGCCGCAGAAAGCGCCGCCATCCGGTCATTCAAGGATTTCAGTTCAAGCATCCGCCGCTTGGACACGGCCACAGGGCCTTCCGTAAGAATGGCAAAGATGTTGCGACGCACGGCATCGGGCAAACGAGTGCTATTATCCGCCGGGCTAGGTAGCTCACATGCGCGATGCAGGTGCTCCTCCATGGAAAAGTACACACCTGCCAAGTCCCCGGCTTTACCGTCTTTATGCGTCCGGACCCTTTTGGAAGGATTCGGCTCATCACAATCCCCCGCACTAGAGCCGCGGCCTTGGGAGAGGATCTTGAAATCAGCTCCAGCCGGCACTTGGGACAGAGGGACCCTAACCCGAAACTCAGGGATTAAGGGAGGCATAAAAGTGGGCTGATTGGCCGCTGCCGCTCGCACCTGAGCTCGAAGGTGCCGGCTATGCAGGAAGTCAACCTTGTGGGGCTGCAATCCTTGGCAGGCGGCAGTGGCGGACCGACAAAGTATCTGGCATAACTCAGCAGGAAGCGAGGCATCACTAAAATTCCCAGCCGTCGAAGGAGGAACCCAAGGTTGATGTTTATGGGACTTATCACAACACCGACTGAGGCCTGGGAAGGAGAGGGACTCAGCTCGGACCCGCAGCGAGGTCAAGAAGGGGGCACCGAACATGCAAGTGTCAAGCTCTTGATCAGCTAAGGCGAAGAACCATTGCAGAAAACCCGAATGCCGCCTCCTTTTGACAAAATGGGCGAGGAGGCTCCAGACCCAACTCCGAGCCGGAGCGATCAGGCTAACGAGGGCTCGAGTTTCGTAGGCTCGGAAGAGCAGGTCGACCACGGCTTGCACCAAGCCGTTGTCACGCAGCACCAGGGAGGCGGCACGAGCGGGAAGGCCATCCCGCCCTAGCAAGTGAGAGGCATCACGAAGGCTGGATCGACCTCGGGAATCACGCCCCTGATTGCAAGATTTCAAGAACAGATTGAAATGCCACCAGTCAACCAAAGTGTTCCGGTCGAAATCGAGCAAAGCTTGCAGATCATCGCCAGTGGAGAGGTCCAGCGGTACTCGAGGGCAGGACTCTGGGGCACCGCCTTTGTGGCCCAGGGACAAGGCATCCCATCCAGCCCGCATGGCGGCGGCCGACAAGGATCCCGGTTGCGCGAGGCAATCAACAAGCAAAGGCGGACGGGGGACCGAAGAGGGGCCCTGTTTCGACAGGGAGTTGCAGCCCTCAGAGGTCCCGGACGAAGCTGAGGCGGCACTGGGCCGCTCGGCACTGGGTGCCTGGCAAGGTGGCGAGTTGGTCTCGGAGAGCTCCGAGGGGGCGGGAACAGATGCTCTAGGCTCAGGCTGTGTTGAAGGCGATGCGGGCGTCTTCAAGGGGAGAAGCTGCCTCATCTGTTCCGTGACTGAAACCTGCTGCGAGGCGCAGGCCTCTTTGGAAGCAAGATGCGAAGCAGAAGGCAAGGGGAAACCCAAATCGAGCAGGACCCGGCGATCGGCGCCTGAGAGGCGCCCTCCGGCCTGCAAGGCAAAAAGCACTAGGACAACCCGGCGCCCAGTGGCTGGCAATGTGCGATGTTCGAACTCTCTGGCACAAAATTTGACCGGCCCGCGGGATACTTGCAAATCCACGGTCCGATCTGGCTCGCTTACCCGGATAGCTCCCCCTTGGAAAATGGTCAAGGGGATCACATAGTTCGGAGAAAAGGCGTTCTGTGAATCTCGGTGTGGCCGAGTGCACACCCGATCAAAAATGGCAAAACTCGTGTAAACGGCACCTTCAAGCAAAGAGGCTACAAACCTGTTCACCACTCGCACCGTCTGTGGAAAAAGCCTACAAGATTTGCGAAGGCTCACCTTAACTCGAGAGTACATCCCTGCCGAAAAGGAGCGCCCTTCGGCGTCTCGGTCGCACTGCTCATGCGGCAAGGCATCAAAAAGCCTCATCACTTGCTCAGCGGTAACAGGTGTGCTCTGAGCTAAGATTTGCCTGGCGAAAACCTCGGGCGAGGGCAAGGCTAGTCAATGCTTGCACTCACTGTAGGGCCTTTCGGCCCCGCACCCTTTGAAGTTGCACACATGCTTTCCGAAGCGGCACGACTTGCGTTTCTGGAAGCGGCAGATCCCCTTGTTGTAAAACGGGCAGATGAAACGGCCATCATCGTTGGCCCGCACGCAGCCCTCGGGTAACGACTCCAGCAGCTCCTTCAGGGACGGTTGCGAGGATGCATCAGCCTGGCCTTGGCTGTGATTCTGCTTCCCTTTGCCGCGGCCTTTGCCCTTGTTACCCTTCTCTCCCTTCTGATTGCCCTTGTCGGGTCCCTTATTCGGCTTCCACGGTTGGGCCTGGTTCTCGGCAGGCTTAGGAAGGTGGGTCAGGCAGGATACCACAAACTGATTGGTTGCAGCAGCGGCTATGTGCTTATCAAGAGGAGCCGGGGCTCCGACCCCGACGACGATGTCACCTCGGCTCTCCTGGGCCACCACCTGCCAAAGCTTCTGGTCAGCTGCGAGCAGCTGCTGAACGGTTGTGTAGCGATAACCCGCCGGAGGCACATCAAGCAGAGCCTGGAACATGCGGTTGTGCCAAGACTCCATTGCAGTGTAGGAGGCAAGCCCTACTTGATCGAACGCTAAGGCCCGGCGCAGGAAGCACCGGCGAAGCTTGAGCTCGCCGGTAGTCTCGCAACGGAGACTCGAGGCTTGCTTCGTGATCTTGATGTTCCCGTCGGCTCCCAAAGAGATCTTTTGCTCCGTCTTCTCACCCAAGATTTCGTCATGGCGGGAAATGCACTTTTCCGGCGCGATGTGCAGCACTTGTGCAGAATCGAGCATGGCCTGGACGCGGTCCACAAGGCCGTGTCCAGGTTCTGTGTGGATATCCATCTCGAGGCCTTTAAGCTCCCCCCTTTGGCGTTTCAAGCGTGTTAGGCGTTCTGCCAACGGAAGCTCGCGGGGGCTTGTATCACTTGTTCTCGAAGCCCTCGATTCCAAGTCAACCAGGGCGTGGGCGTGGCTCTCGTACCACAATCGCCTGATCACCATATGTTGTTCCACTGGAACCTCACTCCCAATCAAAGTCTTCAGGGCTTCGAAGAGAGGAGTGTCATCCCCGCTGGAAGGTTTGCTCGAGCACACGAAAGCTAGCTTGCCGAAGGTGTCCAAGCTCTTAGCAAGGAGCTTGGTCAGAAGATCCTCGCTGATGCCGATCTGCTTTGCTCGGTCGGTGAAGGCAGGCACCGATTCAAGTCCGGCCATGAGACCTGGGCAGGTGAGGATACAGGTTTCGAGGTCTCACCCACGGCGAAGTCAACCGTGGGTCGCGTTTGTCTCGGATTCACACTTCTTCGCCACCGATCACAGGCGGCCTTCGGGAACCGGCGATCCCAGCCGGTCGCGTTCCAATAGTATTTTTCATGACTCAGGCCGGCAAAGGCAGCCGACCACGGGGGTTCTTGCAATCTCAAAGCCCCCAATCAAACTCCCGCTAAGTTCAAGCCTGGGTGCTCACCAGGCCGCGCGGGAGATTCGCCCCAGTTTGGCAACTCCCAGCCAAAAGACTGCGGACACTTCTCAGTCCGGTTTTGTGCTCCGAAGCAAGAAACACTCCACTGATCTCAATCGGCCCGGGCACCCTCATCTCAAATGGCATAGGCACGACGTCGCAAATCAGCAAACGATCAACTGAGCACATCCTCTTTTCTTCAAGCTGCGCACTGCTGGCAGACATTCTCCTGAGCCTCCTCAGGCCCCATCAAACGCATGTTCGCCGTGACCTTCCTGCCGCACTTAAAAATTCCGGGGTTGACCAACTTATGCACCACTCCACTCAAGACGTGCATGTAGGTCTCTCCCGAGAACGTGCAGCTAAGCCGTGGACGGACCTCCTCCGGGGCCGGTGCCCCCAGGTCCACTTCGAGACCGTCGAGGTTTGTTATGTCAGACCCAGCCTCGGAGTTGTTCTCATCTTGAGGCTCTTCGGCCGGCAAATCCTCAGCCGTCGTCTCAGGAAGATGTGCAAAATCGGCTGGATCGCCATGCAGAGCTCTTGCGACCCTCTCGGCTCGCGGGAGATCGGGACTAAGCACTCCCCTGCTCACAGCACTCACGACCTTGGCTACCTTCACTATGATTTCTGCAAGCGCATCTCTCGAGTACAGGAGGGCCATGCCGTGCTTTGGACTGCAATGATGCCCCTGGGTAAGGCGCTCCTCGTAGGTCATGGTCCCGCTCTTGGCCGTCCAGGACAAGGCGGTTGCTTTCAGGCTGTGCGAGCTGTACTGTTCAAGATCTCCCGTGAAACCCTGCAAGTGCAAAAACTCACGAAGCCACAAGGAACCCTCCGCAGCCGTCATGGCCCTTCCTAGAAAGTTCCCTCCCGGCGACATGGCCGGCATGATTACGGCACAGTCTGGTAGCCCTGCCAGGGCCCTCTTGCGCATCCAGACACGTCCCCATGAGGGCTGAGTTAAGCCACTGCCCATTGCAATCAAAGGCAGCACGGTATCCTTTCGGTCCTTGGCCTTCGTCTTGTAATGTTTTGTCGAACACTCAAGAAGGACAAGCCCGTTACCTGCCACGTCAATGCTCAAGTCAGTCCCTCGAGCCGCATCCGACCATCGAGCCGAGGAGTAGAGGCAGAAAAGAATGAACCCTGCTATGCTAGCCCTGGCATAATCCTCGGAGTCGTGGACGAATTCTTCCAAGAGCCGCACTGCTTCCACCGGAAGGGGCGGTGCTTGCCAGAGCGGCCGTTTGCCCATGGACATCGCCTTGGCTGCTCCCTGCACACGAGGGGAAATCCTGGAGCCTTGCGCAGCCCCTGTCAAGTGCACAAAGAACCTATAGGCCTTGAGAAAAGACTCGCCGGCAGTGGCTCCTGCTTTCTCTCGTCGCAAGTGAAGCATATAAGCGTACAACTCGCCCTCGGAAGGCGCCAGAGGGCGCCCTTTGCTAGCTACGATCCACTTGGCGAACCTTGAGAAATCTGAGGCACGCTTCAGAAGGGTGCTGGCGGCTCTGCCTGAAAAAGTGTCCTCGATGGTCGAGGTCAGCATGGATTCCTCCACCAGGGAGCCTGCAGAACCCACGAGGTTCCTTCCAAGCTCCGAGTCATCCGGGAAGAAAAGCACGATGAGCCGAATTTTCTTTAGTGCGGTAAGCCTAAGCATGTCATCGCTTTTGGCAAACCTTGCTGCGAGAAGTCGCCTGGCCTCGTAAGTTCCTTTGGGCACCCATGCCCACGGCCCTGCTGCAGGGGCGGGGATCGCCGCCCTCCTAAGACCGTCGAAGCGACCTAGCAACGGCTCCTGGAACATGAAGCCGGGCCCCAAGCGGGGCCTCGTCACTCTTTCCCACGGCATCGCCTGACGGGAATGCCTTGCAAGAATGAAACCTGAGTTCATGGCATGCCAATCACCTGCGCTGCCGCCGTAGGCAATGAAGCCTGCAAGCTGCTGTTCCAAACGGCCTGCAGTCGGGTCGTCGTCAGGGGGAAGTTGTGTGTCCTCGCGAGACATCAGGCCCCCCAGTTGCTCCTCAGTAAGATCATCGCCCTCGACGGGGCTGCTCATGAAGGCCGCTAAGGGACCCTGATCAGGTGTGCCCTCAACCACAGCCGAATTCGGAGATATTGGGCTGGCAGGTATGGCAGACAGAGGGACCTGCTGACCTGATTCAACAGACTGCGAGACGGCCCCCTCATCCGGATAAAAAGCTTCAGCACTCATCCCCCGCAAAAGAAGCTTAAGACTCGGAGCGAAACACCTGATGCAATCGCTGCACAAGCCTTTCCAACCACCCCAGGCGGAGGGAATGTTGGTACCTTTCAGTTTCCAGGCCCCGGAGCTCGCGCTGGATGTCGCCGAGCTCTGCGCGGACAGCACGCAACTGCTGTTCAAGAGAAGCAACTTGCAGCGAAAGGTCGTACAAATGTTGGGAAATGGCTTCTTGAGTGTCACTGGAAGCAGAAGCCGAAGATCCCGCTTCAAGGGCCTGGCGGAAGTCCATCCGAGCCCCAGCAGGGCTCTTGCACGGTGCTCTAAGAGCAACACCGGATTACGGAGGACTCGGGCCTGTTAGACGCAAAGCTACAAGCCTCTAGAGAGCCCCTTCGAAAAATTTTGGCAATCTCAGCCTTGAACACACCGCCGGGTGACATGATTCAAAATCGCACAAGTATCTACCGAATCATCATGCAGGAAATCGTGATGCAAAATACAGCATCAAAAAGGCGATGCTAAAAACAGCATCAATCGCATGACAACGGAATCTGTTAAAGATCTCGAAAGTTAAAACATTGGTTTAAACAATGATGTTTGAAAACTGCAAGTGCGCTTCGCCTTTGGCTTCGCTAGACCAGGATAAACATAACTGCGCTCCGCTCCGTGGGACGTCTTTAGAAGCTGCAGGAGCTCCTTTGGTAGCGGTCGATGGCTTCGCTCCGGTCGCAGCCTCACTCCTATGAGCCTCAGCACTGAGTTTTCGGTCATGGCGGTCAGGGCATCCCTGATTTTCGCCTTGTCTGGTTCCGACTTCTCCTCCGGGAGACCGCCCATTGCGAAGAAAGAGTGCATCGTGCCCTCTTTTACCATCAACGGCTTGAGTTCCTGTATGAAGGTCAGGGCCCGTTCGTGTGCCAGGGGCTCCCTGTCGGTGGGGACTTGAGTTTGCTTCTCCGCGTCCCACTTGGTATACGACCATCGAAGTGGGTTGGCTGCCAATAGCCCCGTCGCAATCAGCTTTGATTGCGCCTCAGTTAAACTGTAAAACCCTGAGCGGTCACGCTTTTACTCTTGAACCAAAGGCGCTGCGTCGGTCACATAGTATGCAGCTATACAATACTATACCGTAGCCTGGGCTCACCAAAGGTGTGGGGCGTTCCTATGTACAGAATTCAACACCCTGCCTCGAAGTCCTTGTGCTGTACTTCGATCGGTCCGCGGTCGGGCATACCTCCGCCCGTGACTGCATCGGCTTAGCCATTGCAAGTCCTTGGGTTAAACACTCCGTGCAACCCACCTTTTGACCGTCCCCCAATTAAGGAGGTGTGTCAGACCGTCCTTGTCCTGACTCGTACAGTAACAAGTACTTCGTCCTAGTGAAACATTCCACACAAACTTCCTGCGTTAGCGCTCATCCTTCTTTTGCGCTTTTCGCTGCTGTGTGTTCCGAGGTGAAACTTTTTCCAGTCTTGCCTACACTCACTTCTCTGCCTCATACTCGTACACGATGTAGGGCTTACTGACTTCCGAACAAAGTACATTCCTCCGTACTGTCTGGCGTACCGGGATCCACTACTTGCTTCGGACTCCCAAACAGATCCATCGGGATATCCGATCCTTGTGCGCGTTCTCCTGACGCGTCATACGTCTCGTTGCATTGTCTGCAATACTCTTCATACGATTCCTGTGCCTCCGGGGATAGCATTTTGTTCCCCATCTCTTCCATGCTTATCATCTTTCCACGGTACTCAATCATCTCCGTTTCCTTCTTCTTTTCTGGTTCTTCCTGGGCTTCCGGTGAAACAATTCTTCCCAGGGCTTCCATTCCACGAACGAAGTTTTCATCGCTTATTTCCACATCCTGCTTATTTCTTCCAGATGTGATTCTTCCTCCACGTCGGTAGTCTTCCTCACTTATGATGGGCATACGCACACCATCTGTGTGTACGATTGCTGGTGTTCCCATCGCTACTCTTCCACGTCTCTTCAGAGATCCTTTTCCATTGCCACTCTTTTGTCCAGTATTCCATGCATGCTTTCCATCATCCGTTACACGGGTCTCTTCCTTTTCCGTGGCATCCTCCGTCACAGTTCTGTCGTAACTTCTCCGCCATTGTTCCGTTGCATACGTTTTGATGCATTCTGTGCAAGAACATTTCTGGTGGTTTACCTTCTCCCTTGTACACTTCCGGATTCCGCACCAGTAGCACTTCTTTGTGCATCCGCCAGTTGACTCTACCTCGAAGTCAAGCTCCATCACTTCCCAGTCGCTTTCGTCTGGGGTTGGCGGCTCTACTCGTTCTCGGCGTCTTCTCAGACTTCCTTCTGGCTTCGTCTCCGGGAAACAAATCCAACATGCCCTAAAGCCTTCCAGCTCGGCTTCCTGCACGTCCTTCCAGACCCACCGGCCTGGCTTCTTGTGAGATCCCTGGACATGCCAGCATGTACCACGGTGGTACACACGTGCTCGGCTTCCCGTACTGAGTACTGATCTTCACGCGTCCAATACCTCGTAGGTTTTCCAAGACTCTCGTG